GCCCCCAGAGAAAAGCAGTCCCTCCCGTGTCCCCAGTCTCTAGCCGCACTCCGTGCTCACCTGGCCTGTGACCGAGCATTTCTATCTCTGGCACCCGGCCCCGTGTGGAGTCTCCAAACCCAGCAGATCCCTGAGGTGTGCTCCTGCGCCGCTCCTCCCGGGGGAGGGAGGGAGTCTCCTGGGCTCTGCCGCTCTTTGGGTCCCTGCTGGAGGTGCAGTGGCCCGACTGGGCCGCAGATCACCGTTTATGGCCACTCCGAGCTGAGAGCTCGCGCCTCGGCTCCGTCTCTGCAGCCGGCTTCCCCGCTCCGATACCCGGGAGCTCTGCAGCACGCAGGCACCCCCGGTCTATCTGTGACCCCGAGGGTCCTGAGACCACACTGTCCCGCGAGGGTTCCACCCCCCGCTTAGCCACTGGAGGGACGTCCCTCAGCGGAGCCGACTTCTAAAAGTTCCGATTTTGTGCTCCGCGGCTCTAGCACTTGCCAGAAGCGGCCGACGGAGGCCCCCTCCCCCGCCGTCTATCCTCCCGAATATCGCCTCGGATTCGCTTCTCCGCACGTCCTACCTTCCAGAAAGTGGTCGCTTTTCTGTTCAGAGTGTTGTTACTATTCTTATCTTCGATCTCCTGTTGAGTTCGTAGGTGTTCAGAATGGTTTGATCCCTATTCAGCTGAATTCCTGAGACCAGACGAAATCCAGGTCTCCTACTCCTCCGCCATCTTGCTCCACCCCCTCGTATTTTGCTTTTTTGATGCTATTATAAATATAATTGTTTTTGTAATTTTCTTCTCTGATTGTTAGTGTATAAAGATGAAATTGATTTTTCCTTCTTTTTTTTTAAAGATTTTATTCATTTATTTGACAGAGAGAGACACAACGAGAGAGGGAACACAAGCAGGGAGAGTGGGAGATGGAGAAGCAGGCTTCCCGCGGAGCAGGGAGCCCGATGCAGGGCTCGATCCCAGGACCCTGGGATCATGACCTGAGCCGAAGGCAGACGCTTAATGACTGAGCCACCCAGGTGCCCCTGAAATTGAATTTTCTGTATTGGCTTTGTATCTTGCTACTTTGCTGATTTTAATTTTTCATTCTAACCGTATGTGTGTGTGTATGTGCACACCATATTTAGGGTTTTCTATGTATAAGATCATATCATCTGCACACAGAGAAAATTTTACTTCATCTTTTCCAGTTTGGATGATTTTATGTCTTTTTCTTGCCTAACTGCTCTGGTAGAACTTCCAGTACTATGTTGAATAGAAGTAGTAAAAGCAAGCATCCCTGCCTTGTTCCTGATCTTAGAGAAAAAAAAAAAAAATTAGTCTTTCATCATTAAATATGATATTCACTGTGGGTTTTTCATAAATGGCTTTTATTATGTTGAAATAGTTTCCTTCTATTCCTAGTTTGTTGAGTGTTTTTATCATGAAAGGGTATTGTTTTGTCAAATGCATTTTTCTGCATCAATTGAGATGATCATGTGCTTTTTTCCTTCATTCTGTGGATGTGGAACATTATTTTGATCAAATTTCATATGGTAAACCTTCCTTGCATTCCAAGAATAAATTCCATTTGATTATGGTGTATACAGTTATTTTCAATATGCTGAATTCTGTTCACTAGGATTTTGTTGAGGATTTTTGCATTGATGTTCATAGGGTATTGATCTGTAGTTTTCTTGCAGTGTCTTTGTCTGCCTTTGGTATCAGGATAATGCAGGCCTTATAGAGTGAGTTAGGGAGTATTCCCTCCTCTTCGATTTTTGGGGAAAAGCTAAGAAGGATTGGTATTAGTTCTTTAAATGTTTGATCAGTGAAATCATCAGGCCCAGGGCTTTTCTTTTTTGGGAGAAATTTGATTATTGATTCAATCTCCTTACTAGTTATAGGTGTATTCAGATTTTCCATTTCTTCATGATGTAGTCTTGGGAGGTTTTGTGTTTCTAGAAATTTATCCAGACTGTTACTGTATTTGTAATACTTTAAAAAATTCACATATATTATGATAATCTCTTACTCCATAAGACGCCGTGTAGAAGTATGATTGTAAATCGTTGGATAATACTATCCCATGGAGTATCACACATCACCTAGCCCTTCCTCCTGTTGTTGAATGTAGGTTGACTTCAACTAGTTGTCTGCAATGAAAGTCCTCATACTGTGCACACATCTCTTCTTGGTTCCTTGCAATAAATTCTTAGAAATAGAGTTTGTGGATCCCTGGATCCATAACCACTTTCTCCTGCTCTGACCAAGCCTTTTGAGGAGATACCAGGAAGGAAATTAGGTCAAAGTTTAAGCTACAAACTGAGCAACAGGAACACTTTACTTAGGGGTGCCTGGGTGGCTCAGTCATTAAGTGTCTACCTTCGGGTCAGGTCATGATCCCAGGGTCCTGGGATCGAGGCCCACATTGGGCTCCCTGCTCAGCAGGAAGTCTGCTTCTCCCTCTCCCACTCCCCCTGCTTGTGTTCCTGCTCTCGCTATGTCTCTCTGTCAAATAAATAAATAAAATCTTTATTAGAAAAAAAAACACTTAGGCAATTTTCTTGTAATTATCTTACTATTCCAGTTCCATTTTTCCAGTAAATTATGTTTAATGGGTAGAAAATTATGGATATAAATATACCTTTGTCCAGCAGCAAGGTCTTAAATACTTTATTTATAGTAGTTTTACTTTTATTCTTAATATGTTCAGTACTCACATGGAAATTTACTAACTGTATTTAAAATTTGATAAGCAACTAATTTCTAACCATCATCAGCAAAATAACATTTAGTGAAAATTTGCTCTGTGCCAGAAGTAGTCCTAAGCCCTTTATGTACATAATCTCATTAACTCAACAAAAACCTTAGCAAAGTGGATATTATGAGCTCTGATTTATAGATGAGCAACCAGAGGCACTGAGGGGTCCAGCCTTATAGCCTTAAGAGGAAACAGAGCTGAAACCTAAGTCTGGGTTGTTCAGATTAACATTTATTTAGTGCTCAATATCAAGCAATGAATGTTCTAAGCTATAAAAGTGAGAATTTTACAAATGACAAAATAAAGATCCTGAAAGGTTTGTTATGCGTCCAAAAGGACTTAGTGAATAAATAAGGCACCTGGGCTCAGATACATCCCAGGCGCCCCATGCTTAGGAGTTCTCTCAGAACTGCTGTAATTGCACAGGAAAAAGTACAAATTAAATAAGGTAGCCACTTTGGACTAAGCAATTAAACATATATATTTTTTTTTCTTTTTTTCCCCTCTGATAAGAGACCATGCTGCCCGAGGGGTTAAAAACGCTAGACTTTGGGCTCTCATTAGCTGTGGGAAACAATGTGTCCAACCCAGCATCCTGCCCTCTCTAAATCTCACTCTTACTCTATGCTTCCCCCCCCCTACCCCGTTACCTAATGGATCATAGTCTTCTTTTCCGTGACTATAACATTTTCCCAGGATACTATCTGCGTGGTCCGGTTCTCAGGAGACCTGGTTTCTTGTTGGGCTTCTACTCTTGACTATGGGATTTAGCCTCACAGGAACTAAAGGTCTAAAGACCCATTGGCCAACCGAGCTGCAGTTCTCTGATCATCAGGCGATGGCGGTCAGCCAGTGCTGCAACTGCTGACACACAACCAGCCCACTGGCACTCAAGAGGTGAGACAAAATCTACCCAGACCTTGAGAACCCTCCTGTCCGCCATCCACAGGCTGCTGTGTTGCATTCAACCACAACTTTGAAAGGTCAGTGTATCTTGGAGTTGGCTTTAACATAAGAGATAAAATGGACATTTCACTCCTTCAGCAAATATTTTGTCCTTTGTCCAACTTTTGGAAAAAATGGAATTTTGGAAATATTTCTTAGACTTTTAGCATTACTAAGCTGATCCACTGCTCTAGTTAACGGTTCCCCACTGCCTTGGTTACAGGAAAAACAGCAGTCATTCTGGGATTTTAGTCAAGTTTTTTTCCAACTCCCTCGAGCCTCACCTCTACCACCAGCCTGCTCTTCCCATGAGTCTCCGCACCTGGTGGTCTGGTCTGACCCACGGCTGGTCAGTGCCCGTGTCTGGACTCTATCCAGGTCTCTGCTGTGTTCCCAGATTCTTTTTACCTGACACATAGCCCAACCCTGTGGCGCGATGCGTCCTCTTTCCTTTTATATCCGTTTCCCTTCTGGTAAGGGTACGTGCTCAGGAGTAAACCTTAGAAAATTAAGGAAAGTCAAAAGTTTCGAAACACGCAGAGGTCACTTTAAAAAAATGCAAAGGACGTAGGACACCAGCTCAGGGGTGGGGACAGCCAGCCGGGTCACCCTGCACTACCCCACTCCGGAAGTGCCAGCGTCCAGCGGTGACCCCAGGCAGCCCTTGGCGGGGAGGAGGCGGCTGATACCTGGGGCTGAACGAACTCAGTTGTTCCGGGGTTCTCCGCCCCGGGGGACAGCCTGGACTTTCCCGCGCGGGAGAGCCCCCACCGGTTGCGCAGCCAACTAGCCGCAGTCCGCCCCGCGGTCCTGCGGGCGATTGGCTGCGCAGCCGCGAGGTGCTGGGGGCGGAACCGGGTGTAGCTACCCTGCGGGAGGTGAGAGGCGGGGGCCGGCGGAAGGTGAGGGCTGGAGCCCGACAAGGGGCGGTACTGAATCCGGAGCTGTGAGGGAAGGAGGTGAGGGCGGGCTGGGAGGAGCCTGGGGGGGGGGGGGGGGGGGGTGTGCTGGGGCCAGTCGTCAATAGGTGCAGACTCGGGTTTGCCCAGACTCTGGACCTGGGCCGGCTGGCACTTGGGCGCCATTCCCCACCCCGCGCGGACTTCGGAATTAGCCAAAGACTCACAGGAACCGCAGGCGGAGCGCGTTTCCACGGGGCGCGGAGCACCACCCGAGCGCCGAGGATGCGTGCCCTGCCAGCCCTGGACGCGCCCCAGAACGAGCGACTGCTGACCCGGCACCCCGAGGCCCCCAGGGTCAGGGACGCGGCGGTGCCAGCACGCAAGAGCGCGGTGGAGAGGCTAGCTGCGGACCGCGCCAAGTACGTGCGGGGCCCGCCGGGAGCCGGCCCGGGCCGGTCTCCCGAGGGCAGCAACCCCGGGGCGAGCGAAGGCACCGCGGGCGATTCTCGGCCTCCAGCTCGCGTCCCCGGGGCCGTGGCGCGCAGGGCCATAGCTCGGAAGCCGCTGAGACCTGACTCCCTGGTCATCTACCGGCAGAAATGCGACTTCGTCCGAGGACAGGGCGCCGACAGCTCCAGGGGGGGGCTGGTGAAGAAGCTCTTCCAGGGGCCGGGCAAGGACAAGACGTCGGTGCCCCCGGAGACGTCCCGGGTGGGAGAGGAGGTCAGGGCCAGGCGCGAGGAGGCTGTCCTGACCAAGCCCGGCTCTACTGCGGCCTCCGCGGTCCCCGGCGTTCCCGCGGCCCCAGCGCGCCCGGCGCCCTTTGGGACGCCCACCAGTGTCCCGGCTGTGCCCCGGGTCCCGGAGCCGCGAGGGACAAGGCGCGGGGGGCTGCAGCGATCGCGGTCAGACCTCAGCTCCCGCTACTCGGCGTCCCTGACCGAATGTGACACCTTCTTCCAGTTCTGTGGCCTGGAGCCTGAGGTGGTGGAAGCTCTCGGTAGGGAGAAGTTCTCCGCGGGGTCGGACCGCGTCACACTCAGGGTCCGCAGCGTGAGCGTCGCCACCTCTGACAGCGGCTTCTCCCGGCACAGCGGCGGTGAAGAGGGGCTGCAGGAGGAAGAACTGACCGAGCAGGTGCCCAGCACCACGTCGGTCATCGAGAGGAACGCCCGTATCATCAAGTGGCTGTACACCTGTAAGAAAGCCAAGGAGAAGACCGGCCAGGGGCCGCAGGGCCCGGCGTGACCGCTCGCGCTCTGCAGAGACTTGGACCCTAGGTGTGCATCCGGAAAGCCTGGGAGGGGTGTCTTGTGTGTGCGTGTCTGTGAGGGCTTGGTGGGATGGATCCAGTCCAAGGGACCCTACATACTAAGACACAGAGGCTCATGCGTCCAAGGACCACTGCTAAGAGAGCAGAAGGGCCGCCAATCCAGGTCCCCTGCAGGACCAGCACCCTTTCTTTTGAGTGTTTTGTTTCTAACTGCCTGGAAATGTAATTCTGATAAGAAGAGAAGTCAGAGTTACAAAATGCTTAGAGATGAGTTTGCACCCCTGCTATTATTTCCTGCGTTGAAAATAGCCTGAGAGCTCTAGGGTCTGTGTGAATTGACCTGTGGGCATCCTGAGGTTGGATCAGAGCTTACTCTAGCCCTAGAGTGGGACTGCCAACCCCTCTCCAGCAGAACGGAAGGCTCTGAGCTCATTCCTGGAGGCCTTCAGCAAACCTGGCAGAGAGGGAGAACTTCTTTACAGTTTGGCATTCATATAGCTGCACAGGTCTCCATGTGGCTAAATTTTGTTTGAGTTGTCTCGAGAGCTTTCTAAGGAGAGTCTTAGTTCACAAGAAGGAGCATCAGTTTGTTGAACTGGGCCTGGGCTCAGTTATTAACTGGTGTTTTAGAACTCTGTATGGCTGTGATTCTATAGTTTATTTACCTCTTATGATCATACAGGAGATAAATTTCTTCCCCTTGGACACCAGTGGCACAGGGTTGATCTCAAGTTCTTTTTCACTGAGGAACTAAGGAATGTTTATCCTTAGTGATCTTTACTCTTCCTTCCAAGAACATGTGGTGAGGGCATTTTGGGGGTAGTGAAGGGAGAAGAGAAGGTACCTTTTTGGGGTTCTCCTTAGGAACCAAGAACTTAAACATTGCACCGTTATTTTTTCCTTTACCCTTCAATGACAACTTGCTATAGATTAAAACAAAATTCATGAGATGGAAGTATTTTTGTCTGCCCTTGATATAAACCAATCGGAGACACAGTATCAATCTTCAGAGTGGTGGGGAGGCTGCTACAAGATGTGATTGTACACAGCTCACCTGTTTGAGGACTGAACAAAGGCCTAACTTCCTTAAGTAGCCATGGCCTAAGCACAGACTTAAAAATTAACAAGGAGAAATAGATTGGATTCAGAGGAATCACGACTTCAGTTTTCCCATATAATTTATTGAATATTATTGTATTTTTCACCAGCCTTAGAATTAAATAGTCAGCATTTAAATTAAAAATAACAACACATTAGCTTGTACTTTTCACAAATTGTCTTTTGAAACTGAGGTGAATACATTCCTCCCAAGCCCTAAGGAACGCCTTGGTGTCAAGGAGGAAAGTTGTGGGGACTGGCATGGTTCCAGAGGGACATGGTCTAGTAGACAGAGCACTAAAGTGGGGGGACTGGGAGGTGTCTACCATTAGTAATCACTCCTCCACCTTAGCCTCCCATTGTCCATAAAATGAAGGCAGATAGGCAAATCATTTCCAACCTCTATTCTTTTTGATTCTATATAGTTTATCTGTATATCTGTGTTTTATGATTGGAACCTAGAAAAAGAAAACAGAAAACCATTATCTATTGGAGTATGTAAAAAGTAAACTTAAAAATAAGTTCCCTTCAGGTTGCCAACTTTGTGCTGTATTTTGTGCACAAAGGGTAGGTAGCATTGTTGGTATAAATAGTGCTGAGGTAACAAGATGATGCACAAACAAAATAAAATAAAACCTGACAGCATACAAATCCACATTCTCCCCTCTGACCCCTCCAGACCCAGATGCACCCTCGTCTCCAGGCTCCAATGTCAAAGCAGTGACCTGCAAGATTCCCGCTAGGAAGTAACCTTCTGAAGCCCCTTTTAGGTTTGAGCCTATGAAAAATGGAAGAAGTTGGGTTAGCTTGTGAGAACATTCACTTTTATGACCAAGAAAAGTAGTTGAGGCAAGAAGAAAAGTGACAGAAGGTTTAAGAAACTGCCAGCGTGAATCTATGCAGGAGAGCAGAGGTTTTCCCTCTCCCTTAATCCCACTGTTTCCAGTGGAAGACAGTGTCATCTGCCTTCTGAGCTGTTATGTTTTTGCTCAGAGAAGGGAGATGGATGTGACCCAGGAGACTGCCTGCGGTTCTGTGTGTTGCCATTCACCAGCACTGTAAAGATTGGCCTCACAAATTTGCTCCCTAAAACCATTGTTCGCATTCTTTGAAATTCATTGCAGGAGACCCAAAGGCTGGCTGCTTATGTGGTCATGGAGGAAGTGAGTTCCCCTGGGCTTTGTCCAGCTCAATGGGACTATGCAAAGTCTGTGCATGACCACAGGACCTCAACTCAGCACATCCAGATGGTGGTCTCTTCAGAGGAAGAGCCAGCAGAGAGAGGCAGGACCCAAAGCACAGAGCATGGCGGCCACTACCTCCCTTGTCGAGGGTCATCTAGCAGCTTGAACAGAAAGGCAGCTGACCTGTCCTCACAGGCTTACTTGTCCGAGACTAATTTCATAACTTCTGGAGGTTGTGGACGCAAGAATTCAAGCTAGTAGTTTTTCTTTAGTTTATCATGATATTTGTGTCAGAATCCATATGGAATCATTTTAGGATTTCATGAAAAATTCAGAAAATTGGAGATGAACAAAGGTGTGCTTTCTAAGTGGGAAGAAAAACGAATGTATTTTATATAGAGACCTTTGTTCCTTTGGTAAATAGAAATAAATTAAAATAAAAATATCCCATCCAAAATTAAATAAGAATTTCAAACTCATGTAAAGTAAAAATGCTTGCTTTTCAAAATTGAGGCTATCAGAGCTGGAGACTAGCTTATAGATTCTGTATGCAATCCCACTGGGGATCCGTGAGCAGTAGTTCTGCATGGGTGACTGTGGCATTCTGTGTCTCAGTGTGTGATTCGTGAACACTTCTTCATCTGCTGGTGCTAGTCATCTTCTGTCCTTTGGTTCATTACAACAGCAGGGCTGCCCAGATTTAGGTCTCTCTGGTTTTCTGTATTTCCCATAGAATATCGAAGTTACTAATGTTAGTATTGTAAAAGAATGGTAACTTGTTCTTTGGGTTAATTAGGGATGGATGTTGTTCAATTTGAGGGCAAAAAGCTCAGATATTCTCACATTTCTCTTAGATACAACATGGAGCACTGGTGGAAGTCCCCTGTAAGCTGGTGGGATAGAACTGTGTCTCATCAAAGATGCCATAGGGGGATAGGACAAACTGGGATGCTCCTGCCTTTCTGCACCTTTCGTTTTTGACTAGCTGAGAAGTTCTCCAGTCACCATCTGAGAGTGGATTTTAGGTGAACAAGTGGCTGGAGTAGCTAGAAGGCCACTCTTCTCTGTCTTCAGGCCAGCCCCTGGGCCTTTCTGAGAGATTTCTGTGTGAAAAGGGTGGAATCCGTTTGCCTTCACATATTTATTTGGACCGCCTGCCTTGTTTTCACTTTGCTGTCCAACTCTCATAGTTAGCACTGGCCTTACCAACATTAAAAAGAAATTTTCTTACTGTCCCATGAGTAATTGGAGGCAAATAGAAATTTAAAAATCCAGAAAAAGGCCTCAGGAAGATACATATTTGTTCTGCCACAGAAGCCAGATGATAGCTGTCTTTGCTAAGGCTACCAACTTCTTTTCAAAATTTAAAATGCAGAAAATATCACAAAACCAAAGACTGTGAGGACCAGGCTTCATAGTATAGTGTTTGGCTTTACAACTTTTGCCTAGACTGACTGGTATTGATTCACTGCTTTTTCCTTACTCCTCAGGAAGCAAGGCTTCCAGACTGTGGGGGCTTCTTGAAGTATGTCCTGGATGTTTGGGGACCCCAGGGCCATCCTCAGTGCCACAGGATTTGTCCAATGCACCCAGGTGACTACATGATTGCTGTTTTCCCAGGAATAAAGCACTCCATTGAAGAAGCGTACATAATTTAGAAGGTTTGAAATGCTATGGAGAAAGGGGAACATGGAACTTGGAAATTAGCTGGGTTGTAGCTGTTAAGACACAGCTGAAGCTCTGGGAGATATTTTCTTGCTTGAGGTGCCTCTATCCTTGCTTCCAGAGGGCAGCAGAGGAGGGGACAGCTGCATGGAAATATTTTCAGGGGTATCTGTTTGACTGGCTTGGTGACAAAGAGGTACCATGATGCATTTTAATGATATCTAAATTGATTTAAAAAAAAAAAAAAGAAAGTGAAAGAGTATGAAAGCCAAGCATGAATGCCATAGGATTTACTGCTTTCAATCAATCTGGACTGTTTGGCACCAATTAAATCAAAGTTCTGTAATCGTGAGAAGGTGTATTCTACTTTAACAGTGTGGCTAACAAAGAGCAAACATACACTCACATGCTCACATGGGCACCTCCATTTCTGAGTATCACTACCACTTAAACTGCAGAAAGTACTTTTAAAGTTATTTTAGTAATGCCACTCCCATTGGGTTGCAGACGTGTGGACGTGCCATTAAAAGAGAAGTTAGAGTTGATACCGCTAAGAATGCCTTTTTTTCTGGGAGCTGGCAGGAGACTCAGGAGCTCCCTTCCCTCACAACCGTGGCAGCCTGCCTCCTTTGCACCCTGTAGAGCATGCCTCCACAAGGCTCTGGTTCCCAACTGCCCAAAGCAGAGGAGAGCCCCAGGTTCCACAGAACACACCCTGCCCATTTGTCTAATTGCCACCTCCATGGATCATGCAGTCATCCCAGATTTGGCACCAGCTCACCCTTTTCTGCAAAGGTTGTGTTTGAGAAGAGGGTCAGCCTCTGGGCAGCTGACCAACTCCAGGATCAGAAGGCTGTTGGTAGGGAGTTACTGTGACCCTCACCCAATCCTGACACCCAGACTGCACAGATTTCAGATTTAGAGCCTTTGGAGAGAAATTTTATATCAATGATGACAACCCAAAGAAAATGTGTAACCCAGTTGACTCTTTCAAAGCTTATTGTGTTTTAACAAAATACTTCTCCTCAGGAACAAAATTATTATGGAGAAGAATATGGAGGGGAGAACAATGGGTTTCTCAATGGTAGAACATTTTATAAACCTATCCATTTTGATATGTTCATGTACTTGTTTAATATTGTGTTCTATTATGTAACTTCTACTGTGAGAGTAGGTCTTTGAGCACCTTAATATTTATTTTTACAGTTATTGGTCTTCAGATAGTTTTCCTTAACATCATATGGTTTTAGTTTTTATCAGAATGGCTTTAAGTCATTTTCTCCTGGGTTATGTTTTTGTGTACATTGTTTCATTGGATATCCCACTTCTGACGGTAAGCATAGTGCTCACTACTCTATAAAGTGCTCAGTACCATAGTGATTTGTTTTCAAATAAATCCCACATATGCATTTTTGGAGGCTCTGTTGGCCCACAAATGTACCTTTCTCATTGTAGACTCTATTTCAAGACAACAGAGTCCATGCTTTAAGAATTTTCCCCCAATTGTTCCTCTCAAAATGCTGCTATTTTACTGTTCAATGGATTGCCGTTAGTTTAAAAATTTATTTTAAAGTCTTTTTACATATGCCCAGTTCCCTTATTTACAGGTGTTCCATTAAGTATAAATGTCAGTGCTTTAGGTAAAACCGTTTTGTGCCTTTCTACTGTCAGAATAGGATGAACCTTGATCATATTTACCTTGGATCATAATGGTGCAGACTCATAATCCATATAATAGATAAAAAATATAGAAACAAACTGGTTGTATTCAAAAACACCAAGATCTTCCAGAAGCATCTGTGCTTCAGTGGAGGTACAGGGAAGAATTCAGCTGGAGTGAATTCAGAAGAAGATCTCAGAGATGGGTGTGAAGAAGAGGAACAGGGTGTCCCTGGGTTCCAGCAAGATCCAGGGATACTCCCTCTCTTCCATTGAGATTCATGCCTCAGTGTCAGGTTCCAAGTGTATGGGTGGAGGTGAGAAGTCCCTTCTTCATCCTGAATTACCCCAATCTGCTGAATGACTTTGAGAAAATCAAACTTTGAAGCTCAGTCTGAAAACAAAAGCTTGTAATTATTTTTCACAAGGATAGCAATAGTTACTGCTATGAAATAGTTTCATTTGTTCATGAAAGAATAGCATGTAAAATAATATGATTAAATACAATGAAAAGAAATAATTATTGGTAAAGCAAGAAAAATAGCTTGACAGTATCTATTTCACTAATATATGGGTACAGATTAACAGTGCCTCTGACTGAGAGGTATTTATGTTACTGTAAAATTTCCTCATTTCAAAATGTGGACTGGTCACTGGTCCTGACGCTGGTCAGTGACACTGAAATAAAAAGAAGGCTTTATTAAACATTGCCCTTTTCATTAGGTTCAAAGTTCAGTGCCATGGTTACGGATGGTGATACCATAAAACATCAGGCCCAGGCAACTGTTATGGTGGTTTTGTAAACAGAGTTTTTTCTACACACTACCTGCAACTAGAGTGCAATATTATGTATTCTGTATTAAAGAAATAAAGTATTTTTTCTCACTTATTACTGGTTATGAATCTGTACAGTGTAAAGACATTGAAGCCAGAGTGTGCATATTGTCATCACTCATGTCTTCTGTTGTCTCCCTTTCTCCCTAATGTCAGATTATCAGCAGAAATGAGGAAGCATTATAGGCAAGTCCGATGTAGGCAAGTCCAGTGTAGGCAAGTCAGAGGGCATGGAAGTCTCTGGCTCTCCCTGCAGATGGAATGCAGTCAAAACAGTCTTGAATATTTAGCACATTGTTTATCTTTGTTTCATCAGTCTTTTGCTTAAAAATATTTTTTTACCCATCTTTATTAATATCAATATTGGAAAATGGGCCCAAAGATAAATAAGAAAGCATAATTTATGACCTTTCATGTTAGTTAACTCATTAGAGTTTGAAGATCAAAGGCAAACTCTATGAACACCAACTTTGCTCTCAGTATCTGCTCAGACTGGGGAGGTAGGAGAGGCAGGAAGGGCAGCTTGGTCCCTAAGTCACTGCCCTGACTCAACCAGACTGGCTTCCTTTTCAGTCCTGCAGTGAAACCTAGGCCAGCATCTAAAGAAAGGCATTCTTTGGAGAAGTGATATGAACCACTCTGCATTTCCATGAAGACAATGGGCAATCCGCCAGGCACCGTAGGAGCTGTCTTAGGTAGAGGTCAAGAAACAGTCAGAGAACACATGCCAGATCCTTCCTTCAGGTAAACTTAAGTTCTCACCTTTCAGTTACTCTTTGTGAAAATTCAGCAAAACAGAAGCAACAAAGTGAGGTGTTTAAACTTTGCTTGTATTTTCAGTAATGAAATAGATTTATATAATATTTGAATGTTCCAGATTGGAAACACTGAACAAGAAGGAAATTGAGTTCTCAACCAAGAGCTTATAATTCTGGTCACGGAAGTATCAGGGAGCAGCTGATGGGGAGAAAATGTGTTCCTACCCAATGATACTTTCCTCATTATGTCTGCTACAATACCCAAATTCCTCAATTGATTGTCCTCTTCATGTTATCTCCTTGAAAATTGTCATAAAATTAGAATTCTATGTGAAGGGGAGAATGTATTAAACCATTAATAACTATTCATCTTTAGGTCAAAATAGAATATTAATTTCCTTAGAGAGTGATAACCTGAACCATAGGAACAGAAATGGAACGACCTGGATTTTGGCTTCAGTGTAGCCTGAGGTATGGTCAGTTTTTAGCTTAAGTAGGACTTTTAGTTACAAGTGCCAGAACACGACACCACATTGCAAACTCACCCCATGTCCTGCTGTCCACCTGATGGTATGGAAACCTCTGTGCTCCTGAGCAATGTTGACGGTCATCGAGGACAGCCCTCTGATGACAACAAGCAGAATTTACCCACGTGCATTTACTGAGGAGCCAAATACTGCATGAGGCACTGGGGAGTCCCCAAGCTCCATGCCACCATGGGCTGACATTCTCGTGGGGGTCAGATATTCCATAAGGATCGATAGATGGATAGATAGGTAGATACACAGACAAAATACATGATAGATAGATAGGCAGATAGATGACAAAGACAGATGGCACACTGAAGGACCGGAAGGAGAGACCGAGGGAGGGAAGGAAGGAGAGAAAGGAAATAGATACACCAAGTGGCGCTATGACCCTAATTTATAAATTTCAATATGACCTTTTTGGTTTATGGTTTCTATTTGGTGGCCAGATTGAACCACACAGGGAACTCAAAAGTCCAAATCATATTAAAAAATTCAAGCAAGAGAGAAGGGAAACAGGCAAATTGTAAATGACAATCCCCCCCCCCCCGCTCCTCAGAGTTTTATTTTAATCCCAGAGGCCCTTCACCTTGGATGACTACTGGCAAGTCTTACCAACCTAGCATTACAGCCTAACGCTATGAAGTCTAAACTGATAAAAAGCAGAACACATTACAGATGGGACTTAAGGCCCTGGTCTATATCCAGTCAGAAGTTTCTTGGTAAGGGACTGCAAGCCTTCCCTTGGCTTTGAGAGGAAGTCCACTTTTCAAACAGAGGGACAGAATAAAAAAAGGCAACACAACAAATAAGCAGTGACTCTTGCAGGCCAGAGCAGGGCAATTCCAGAGAAATGGCAGTATTTCCTCTGGGTCGTCTCCGAAGCTGTCTCTACGGCCATCCTTGGAGGTCAACAGCAGGCTGGGCAGAACCTGGCCGACACTGTCAGCACTCAAGGATCGTGTTCCTTCCTAAGCTTGTGGCAAGTCAGGACTGCAGCATCCCCAGCTCAGAAAGGGAGCACATCCTAGGTGCCCAAGGGCGCTCTCACACTGTTTCCCTTGGAGGTGTGTGGGGGTGCCAACAAGAGAAGGTTCGTGTGGGCTTCTGCTGGGGTGGGCACAGACCACTTGGTCAGGAGCATAGACGGTGAAGGCTGGAAGTAATGTTAGAGATCACATG